TGCCAAAGGCTTCACACAAGTCGAAGGAATTGATTTTCACGAGACCTTTGCTCCAGTTGCCAAACTCGTCACAGTACGATGTCTGTTGGCCGTTGCGGCCAAACGCAATTGGGAAGTACATCAATTAGATGTCAATAATGCATTTCTTCATGGAGATCTTTCAGAAGAAGTTTATATGCGTGTTCCCCAAGGATTTAGAAAAGTTGGCGACACTCGTGTTTGCAAATTACAAGAATCCATTTATGGCCTACGCCAAGCGTCTCGTAATTGGTATCACAAGTTTACTCAATCACTACTGACCATTGGATTTCATCAATCACAGGCAGATCATTCCTTATTCATTTTTCAACAAGGTGAAAACCGCACCTTTGCTCTCATCTATGTTGATGATGTCATCCTAGTTGGAAATGATGCGTCTCATATCAGCAGAATAAAGCATTACTTGAACGACCAATTTAGCATAAAAGACTTGGGTACACTAAAATATTTTCTTGGAATTGAGGTCGCTCGTTCTCCCGAAGGGTTTGTACTAAGTCAACGCAAATATACACTTGACATCCTAGAAGAAAGTGGTCTCCTAGTTGGCCGTCCCAGTCAGTTTCCCATGGAACAGAACTTGAAACTTCGACCTGATGATGATAGCCCACTAGTAGACGCTTCCTCATATCGACGATTGATTGGTCGTTTATTGTACCTCACTGTGACTCGTCCCGACATCGTATTCTCTGTCAGTCAACTTAGTCAATTTCTCAACCAACCACGCCAGTCTCATTTCGACGCTGCCATGCGTGTTCTTCGCTACTTAAGACAAACACCGGGTCAAGGAATTTTCTTATCTGCAAATAATGATTTCTCTTTGAAAGGTTATTGCGATGCTGATTGGGCTGGATGCTCTTACACCCGTCGATCTAGCACTGGATATTTTATCACTCTCGGCAATTCCCCAATCTCTTGGAGGATGAAGAAACAGTCTGTTGTTTCACGTTCTTCCGCGGAAGTAGAATACCGTGCCAAGGTCGTCACAGTTAGTGAAATTTTATGGCTACGATGGTTACTTCGAGACATAACCGTTCCTCAAACTGGTCCCACATCACTCTTCTGTGATAATCAAGCTGCTCGACAAATTGCACTTAACCCCGTTTTTCATGGACCTACCAAGCATGTAGAAATGGACTGTTATTTTGTTCGCGAACGTGTTGCAAGTGGTGAAATCCAACCATGTTGTATTTCTACAACACATCAAATTGATGATATTTTCACTAAGGCGCTCGGCAGTGATTGTTTTCAGTTTCTCAAAAGCAAGTTGGGTGTTCGTAACCTCCACACGCCACCTTGAGGGGGAGTATTGAGATTATTTTTCCATATTACTATTATCCATTGTGTGTACTGTTTCCCTATTAGTAAGCATATATACATGGGTACATGTCATGTATGGCCCATGCATTATTATTACTTTCTATTATTCATGCATCCTTTGTAATATATATATATATATATATATATATATATGTATGCGGCATGCACGTAAGAAAAAGCAAGTAATGCACCATTCCTTTACATGAAGTCCAGCTCTCTCCACATTACTTCTTATTTTTATCATTAGCTTTATTTAAATTTAACACGGACAACTCTTGAATTAGTTGTAGCTTCCTAATTCAGTTTTCCTTCAACAAAAGAGGAAGATTGGGGGCTGTCAGGCTTGACTATCAAAACTAGGAATCTGATAGGATTTACACCGAAATGGAATGAAACACTTCTTTTGTTTATGGAAGTGAGTTAATTTCTTGATCTGATCCTCCGGATGTTAGGTGGCAGACTACAGTACCTAATAAACCTAATAATTTCAATGAGGTGAGATGCATACCATGTGGAAAAATTACGAATGCTTCAATAAATAGAAACAAATTCCACATATCAGGACTCTAGCGAAAGGGTGTCAAACCATGTTCTAATGCAAGTGATGAGAAAAAAAATACCGTGAAGCGATAGAACAGAACAAGTCCCAAAAACATGAAAAGATGCTAACATGCTAAATTGGCTAAATTAAGGGAGGGTGTTATTTTGTCTTCACAACTAAATGAAGAAGGTGAATCGCACACCCGTGAAAAGGATAATAGGAAAATGTAATTTGTGACTAGTAAGAAAATGAAACAACAAAATATGTGATAAATAAGAAAAAGGAACGCGAAGTTCATCAATATTTGGCTAGATGGGTGTATAAAGCCGGGATTCTATTTAATTTTGATAACAATGATAACTTTAAAATGTTTGTCGAAGCTCTTGGTTGATATGGTCCAGGTTATACTTCTCCATCTCAATACCAATTACGAGAAACACTTCTAAAAGGAGAGGTAGATAAGAAAAAAGAGTTGCTCAAAAAAGAAGAAGATTACAATAATATATCAGCCGTGTAAGAGGAGAGAGGCATATGTGATTTGCACTGTAATAATGGTATTTTATTACACCAGACTACTTTCCATCAATATCTCAGCCGTGGTATTTTATCATTATCATTATTATTGTTATTATGATTATTATTGTTATTATTATTATTATTATTATTATTATTATTATTATTATTATTATTATTATTATTATTATTATTATTATTATTATTATTATTATTATTATTATTATTATTATTATTATTATTATTATTATTATTATTATTATTATTATTATTATTATTATTATTATTATTATTATTATTATTATTATTATTATTATTATTATTATTATTATTATTATTATTATTATTATTATTATTATTATTATTATTATTATTATTATTATTATTATTATTATTATTATTATTATTATTATTATTATTATTATTATTATTATTATTATTATTATTATTATTATTATTATTATTATTATTATTATTATTATTATTATTATTATTATTATTATTATTATTATTATTATTATTATTATTATTATTATTATTATTATTATTATTATTATTATTATTATTATTATTATTATTATTATTATTATTATTATTATTATTATTATTATTATTATTATTATTATTATTATTATTATTATTATTATTATTATTATTATTATTATTATTATTATTATTATTATTATTATTATTATTATTATTATTATTATTATTATTATTATTATTATTATTATTATTATTATTATTATTATTATTATTATTATTATTATTATTATTATTATTATTATTATTATTATTATTATTATTATTATTATTATTATTATTATTATTATTATTATTATTATTATTATTATTATTATTATTATTATTATTATTATTATTATTATTATTATTATTATTATTATTATTATTATTATTATTATTATTATTATTATTATTATTATTATTATTATTATTATTATTATTATTATTATTATTATTATTATTATTATTATTATTATTATTATTATTATTATTATTATTATTATTATTATTATTATTATTATTATTATTATTATTATTATTATTATTATTATTATTATTATTATTATTATTATTATTATTATTATTATTATTATTATTATTATTATTATTATTATTATTATTATTATTATTATTATTATTATTATTATTATTATTATTATTATTATTATTATTATTATTATTATTATTATTATTATTATTATTATTATTATTATTATTATTATTATTATTATTATTATTATTATTATTATTATTATTATTATTATTATTATTATTATTATTATTATTATTATTATTATTATTATTATTATTGTTATTATTGTTATTATTGTTATTATTGTTATTATTGTTATTATTGTTATTATTGTTATTATTGTTATTATTATTATTATTATTATTATTATTGTTATTATTGTTATTATTATTATTATTATTATTATTATTATTATTATTATTATTATTATTATTATTATTATTATTATTATTATTATTATTATTATTATTATTATTATTATTATTATTATTATTATTATTATTATTATTATTATTATTATTATTATTATTATTATTATTATTATTATTATTATTATTATTATTATTATTATTATTATTATTATTATTATTATTATTATTATTATTATTATTATTATTATTATTATTATTATTATTATTATTATTATTATTATTATTATTATTATTATTATTATTATTATTATTATTATTATTATTATTATTATTATTATTATTATTATTATTATTATTATTATTATTATTATTATTATTATTATTATTATTATTATTATTATTATTATTATTATTATTATTATTATTATTATTATTATTATTATTATTATTATTATTATTATTATTATTATTATTATTATTATTATTATTATTATTATTATTATTATTAATTGCTAATAATTCATGTATGGTAGGGTAGTTCTTATTGTCTAATAGGTGTGATCATTAAATGTGTGAGTGGGCGGGAATAACATGGTGACAAACATTGTTACATTATATTATTATACTAGTTTTTTACACGCGCATTGCGCGATCGGCTAAATGTCCAATAATATTACACATATAGAATATACAATTGTAGGATCCTATAAAGTTCAAACTCCACACAGAAAAATAAATGTGAAGTAGAGTTTGTAATGCGGAGTAGGAAGAAACATTACAGTACAAACACCAAATTAAAATGACTCATACCTAATATATTTATAGTCATTTACCAGACTATGACTAAAAATCACAGGGGAAAATCATGGACCTTTACAAATGTAACAAGCTACGAAACTGTAGCTTTTGATGTTTTAAGCAAACATACAATCACCACGCAATGACCTCTTAAAAAAAACGAAGTGCCGAATTAAAACAAAATCATAGCGGTCTTGAAAATATAGCAGTCAAAGATGCGGAAAAGCATGATTCCACTCCACGTCTTAACGCAGCACCCTATAACCAGAAAGAATAAGTAAATGAAAAAAATGGGGGGTGGGGTTTTAATTAGACTGATCAGCACTATCGGCAGCACAGAATTATGAAGTATGTTATTTTGGTAGGAAAAATTCTACAGGCTGCCATTGTCATGCTTAATGTCTACTTCATGTCTTACCTGATGGCGACGATAATTGAACCACTGAATTAGTATAAAGGTACCAAGGAGTACACAACCACTTGTATCAACCAGCCATGGCAAGTTTGGTCCAATTTTTGACCAATTCAAGTTGCTAACAAGAATGCTAGCGATGTATGTAATGCTTCCGAACAGTGCAAACATAAATATTAGTGGATTTAGCCCATCAACATTTACCCCTGAAACTTAAGAGAATTTGTGGGGGACGTCCGCCAATGTAACTGACTGCCATTGCCACCCAAGACCTGCTCAACCCAATTATTATGGATGGACTGGCTATTAAGCGAAAATGCACCGTTCTCCTGTAGGAGCTTTCTACCGAGCAGCAAGACCCTTCCAATTTGTTGGAGAAAATGCACTATTGATGTTCTTTGTTTTGTGGTGATTCCAGCCACCAACAAAGAAGGCGAATAAGGAAGCCGCGCAAAGCATGCTTTTTGTTTTGAGAGAAGGTGAAGATTGAGCTGGAACCGCTTGACCGAGCAATGGCGTAGTAATAGAATCCTGCTCATTATCTGTAACAAGTATTCTGTGTGGTGGAAAAGGCCCAATTGGAAGAGTGTCGCTTAGTGATAGATATCTGTCAGACATGTAATATGAATCTCTTTCCAAGGATATGTGATGCACTGTTAGCACCAATTGAATTGGCAGGGGAATTGGTGAGCTATGAAGAGGGCCAAGCGCAGGAATGTATTTTCCACCGGTAAGCCATTGACATGATTACTTGTATTGTTCTCCATGGTATAGGTATCCTCCACTCTCTTTTCAATTGCCCTGACATTCATGTAATTTCCATGTTTAAATTTGTGTTTTTAATTAGTTTAGAGTGATTGTTACTTTGGAAATTACACACTTTTGATGTAATAGTTTAGTTTGTAAAATATTTGTAATATGTTTAGATTAGGTTTATTCTGAGCTCAAACAGGTCCAAGAACAATTTGGGGACCATTGGTGAACACCACAAGTGGAAGGAAAGTGCAAAAATGCAAGACAAAAAGTGAAGATTTCGTTTTTGGTCTGTACCCGGTCGGGTATGACCTATACCCGGTCGGGTACCCTTCTGAAAAATCAAATCGGATCAACCCGGGAACCGAGCAACATGCGGGAAAGATTTTGGCCATGTTCGATTGTCATACCCGATCGGGTAGGACCCTATTTTTCAGTTTCTGGGCAATTTCCTAAGATACCTGATCAGGTATATCCTATATACCCGATCGGGTATCAGACCCTGCAGCTCCCAAAAGCCTATAAATACACCCCTTTCCTTCACAATAAAAGAACCAATTCACATATACTCTTTAGCTCAGTTTAGATTAGTGTTTTCTTTATATTTTCTATCATGTTTAGTCTCCAAATGAGGAGCTAAACTCTTCCATCTTGGTTTTGCTACTTTGAAGCTTAATGAATTTGTAAGTTGTGAGTTATTCTCTTTAATTTTCTTCCTTGAATATTAATTCTTCCTTTAAATACTATTTCTATATCAATGTTGGGAGTGTTACTAAGATGACAATTAGTTAACATCTTGACATTAGTTATAGTAATAGTTATTTCTTCCTCTATGTTAATATTGGGGAGTGTTACTAAGATGACAATTAGTTAGCATCTTGGTATTAACTATAGTAGGATTCATCCTCTTTAATATTCTTCCTTGAGTATTAATTAATTCCTATTCATATTTCATATTAATATTTTGAACATTACTTAAAGGATCAACTAGTTTTGTTTCATATATTAATTATTACTAGAATTGGTCGATTAATACGCTTGTTATTAATTCGGTCCTTTCACGGTAGTAAACTTGGGTTATTAATGCATGCGTTTCATGGTTAATAAACCAAGGGGAATTAATTATATTGATTAAACCAATAAAACCGCTTGTGTTGAGGTTATCAATCTCAATCGTTTTCATCTTGATTTTATTGCTACTATCGAGTGAATATACGGCGCGTGTTCTATAATAACTCGGTAGTAAGTTTTATTAATGAACGCGTCTCGTTATTAATAACTACCCTCGATGAATTGGATATACTCCTCGATTGAGTATTCGAGAGGAAGATAGTTAAAGATATAACCGGGATCGACGAACATTTCATTAAGTGGATAAAAGCAAAACCAAGTCTCCTTCTCATTAATTAAACCACATAACTCGTTCATCTTTGTGTTTTAATATTCTTAAAAGTTCTTCAACAACAAACCTAAAAAAAACCCCTTCTTACTAGTTCTATAAAAAGAAAAGTATTCCTTTCCCTGTGGATACGAACCTTACTACGCTATACTACGTATAAGTGTTGTATTGTATTTAATTTGAGTGCACCTCACGACAAGTGCACGTCATGCCCCACCCTCCAAAACCTTATGAAACCTTCTATTGGACTTCAGTTGTTGATAGATATGAGCATAGTATAATGTTTGCCCAACAAGAAAGAAAGTAGTCAGTGCAAAAAACATTGCCATGTAGAGTTGAGTTGGAAGTGTAGCTAGTTCTAGAAGGTAGCCAAAGATGTTGCATAAGTCCCCAATAATTCATGTTAGCAAGAACCAAAAGGAGAGGCCTTCTGTGGATTTATACCTGAAGTTGGTAATGATCTAGGGAATCTCAGCCACCACCCAACTGAGCACACTCAAGGCCCCGATAGCCAGTGAAACTCCATCCTTGCTGTTGCACAAACGATACTCCATGTGCTGGATCACCCACTGTGAGCATTTATGCAGTTTGTCTTCCATTCCCATCCCGCACATCGCCATATCGGCGCTACTTAAACCCTCCCAGCCAGAATCCTCCACCAGAAAGTAAGCAACTATACAGTTGTGCTTTCCTTTTCTTCCTCCTCGTACAACACAAAACTGTGGACTGCCAGAGGACAAGATGTTGTGATTGACAATGAATGGGAGCGGCGGAAGATGATTGATTATGGACTTCAAGGTGGCGGCTTTGGATAACACTACACATGTTGGTAATAAAATAGCCTTTAGTCATCTTATTGAAAGTGATTGTCTTTCCACCCTCCAGGGAATAAAGCCATAGACCATAAAGTAAATAATCTATTCTAAACCATATTCCCAAGTCAACTATTTCTAATCATAAATGGTAAAAAAATATTAATTCAGAATTAAAAATCTATCTTGGAGTAACCATTTGTAAGAACATTAATTGAACATAAATCCAATCACAAAAAATAATCAAGAATTACACAATTAAGAACCTTGATTAAAAAAATATCCAAGGACATTCTCATTCTTAGAAATTCTAAAATGAAGCTCAGAGTTACAAATTCTTGTTCTTAGAAATACCTCTCAAGCTCGGTCTTATGGGGTGTGGTGGACCGTGGTGACCAGGTCACAGGCTCACAGCACTCAAAAGGATCAGCAGCATCCTGACCAGCAACAAGGCCACTAATGTGAGCCATATCGCAGAGCAAAAGTGCGCCACACTTGTCAGCTACCTCTCTGAATCTCTTGGGAGGAACTGCAACCAAAAAATGATCAACTTCGGCCTGAAGTCCAAAGCCTTCTCCAACTTATCGTAATCGATATAACCGGTGCTTGACTTAACCTTGCACAGCAAGCTCTGGCTGTAAATCACGCGAGGTGGTTGAGATCTTCTTCCCCTAACAGTGTAATAGCCATGGGTCAAATGAGCGTTAGATGGCAAATCCCACACCATGGTCCGATTATGAGATTGAGGACAGCTGTGTAAGCGGAAAAGTTAGCAGAAAGACGAAAGTTATCTGTCTCATAACAATTCAAGGTTGGGATGATTAACGGAGAGAAGACGGAGACATTATCATATTAATAAAAAAGTACAAACATTGCAGTGTAGTGTGCAACTATAATAAGCACAATGATTACACCAACACATTTCTTCTACCTAAAATGACCTTACCCTCATTAATGTTTATAAGATTTTAGATTTAGATATAATTCAAGTAATTCTTATTGTTTAATAGTTGTGATCATTAAATGTGTGATGTGTGATTCAGCGGGATTAGCATGGTGACAAACCTTGATACTTTATATTATTATTATTATAGTTAGATAGGTAATTCATGTAATTCGTATTGTTTAATAGGTGTGATCATTAAATGTGTGATTAGGCGGGAAGGTAGTCAAATAATTTTCCGAAATGTACGGCGTTGTTTAACTTCACAGTTATCTTCAAAAACTCATTTGACTACCTTCCCGGTTGAGTTTTTAGCTGAAATTTGGTATGGGTAAACTAGACTTAATGAGGAAGATGCTCAAAAAATTTTATCAAAAAATTCCATCGGGAACCGCCCCAAATGGCGTCGGCCAGACAGAGCATCCGAAATATGACCGTATTTGACATTTTTTTTCGAGTTCAAGGCCCTATCTGACACTTATCCCCAACCACATTAACCACTTTGATAAAAAAATGAAACACATGACCTTATCGTATGTATAAACAATTCCTATGAATTTTATGTGATATGATACTTTTGAAATATACATTGATATAACATTTTACAAATGAGCAGAACATCAGTACCAAATGAACATATCTAACTTACAAAATACGCATTAATATGAAAATCGTAAGGTTCGTTAGTTGAAAGTCACGACATTTTTATTGAGCATCAAACTTCTTCTATTTAGATGAAAATCACAGTTTCTGTCAAGTGAGCATTCATAATCTTTTATTGAGCATTACACTTATTCGGTTGAGTATTACGAGTCTAATATTGAGTATCGTGATATTTTTGAAATATGAATTTGTATGACATTTTAAAATGATCATAATGTCACTACCAAATGAATATACATAACTTACAAAGTGAGTATCAAAAAATTAAAAATGTCATTTGAAATCGCTAATGTGCTCAAATCCTCATTTGTCTATGCTCATTTGTTTAAGCGTTATGCTCATTTCGTATGTGAGAGCGATGCCACAAGGGCTGGATTGATCTGACGGGTTAATATCACTGAAATCTAGTATATACAGAGCATTAACGCTGTCATCTAGAATCTCTCAGCATCATATCGGAGATGGAGGAACAACGACAGACCAAAGACGCCTGAATTTTGACGGACCGGAGCGCCGGCGATGGGCAACCCAGGTGAGACTCGAACAAATCAAGTTGCAGCAAGATGGAATTCGCTCTTGAACAAATTGCATCAATAGATCGAAGAACTCTGCTCGTCGATGGATGGAGATGGTGAAGCTTGCAACGATGGCGGGTGGTGAAGGTTGAGCGGAGATGTACGATGGCCAAAGGTTTAACGTACATCAAATGTTGAATTGGAGAAGAAGACTCCAAGTTGATGATAATTACAATTTACAAATATACCGGGTGTATAGGTACACCCGGATGTACCTTATAATTTGCGAAACCTTTCGATTACTCCAACACAACTGACGACACATGTTTCTTTTTTTCTTCCTTGCTCTAATCTTTCCTTGGTTTTTTTTTTGCTTCACAAATATACTACCTAACATTGTAACGCGCTATGTTTCTTCCAGTCTTGCAAGAAAAATTACTACTACATCGTAAATAATTGATCATATAAATTCATGAAAGAGCGGAAGATAATCTAGCATTCTTTTAAGAGTCAATTCCCTAAATAGAACTAAAAAGTGGCAAAATTGCACAAATAGGACTACATTTTTTAAATTCCCTTAATAGGATTATTTATGTGTGTTTGGACAAATATACCCTTGTAACTTGTGAAATGTCTTAATTAATAATAAAATCATTAAAAAAACGAAAAAAAAAACTTAAAATCGTATAAAATTAATAGAAAATTAATAAAAATATTTTTTAAAAAAGAATAAAAAACAAATTAAAAATAAAAAAAATTAAAAAAAATCATAAAATTTAAAAAATAAACATTACCACCCCTGCCACCCCCTGCCACCCCCAGCACCACCAGCTCCCATCACCGGAGAAAAATATGCTAACATTTTAAATAATGCCATAACGATGTCATATTCATTGAAAATGTTCGCATATTGAAGAGTAATTATGCCATCTTTTTGCCATTTTCAGAAAAAGGTGGCATTTTTTACCAAAAGTGGAAGAAATTTCACCAATCGGAGGTAGTGGTGCTGTGAGGCGGTGGGAGGCGGTGGGAAAGGTACCCTTAATTGTTTTTCATTTTTTATGGGTTTTTACTATTTTTTTTAAAAAGTAAAAAAAAATTAAATTTTTATTTTATAAATGTTTTATAAATTTTTTATAATTTTTTTTTACGTTTTTTAAATATTTTTTACGTATTTTTATGATTTTATTATGTATTAAAGTATTTCATTATGAATTAATACTCTTAGGGGTATTTAGGGTAGAAAATCAATGTTTAGTCCTAAATAGGGAATTTTAAAAGTAGTAGTCCGATCCTATTTGTACTTTTTAGGAACTCATTAGTCCTATTTAGGACAATTTCCGTTCTTTTAAGAAGAAACAGTGTAAATCTTTAGTCCCACCCGGTTGGTGCAATTTCCGCGATTATGTAATTTATTATGTAATTACCATATGATTATGTAATTTATTTATGAGTATGGAACTATGGATACCTTTATTCCTTTCTTTCTCGAACAAGAAACACAAATTCGCTCAATACATATTGAAATTAGAGAAATGTTTACTTAATTTAAAAAGTATTTTATTTTTTTGGTAAATTTAAAAAGTATTTATCATCTATATCAATTTTAACCAATTCAGTCAAAAAAGTTATTCTAACCTTTTTTATTATTGCACGATTCTGTGTGAGAAATCAAAAGTTACGTGTCTGGTAAAAATATTGAGTGATAAGATGAATAACGAGTTGCCAAATGGGTTCTTAAATGATTGTTTTAGGAAGATAAGTGACCTAATTAGAAAAATCTACCTCATTTGCTACTACCTCCGTTCTCTTAACATTAGTACAAGAGGAACTGAGGGAGTGGTGTGCATGGTTAGCAAGAAAATTCAATTTATATGATCGATAGATATTGAATTGGTAAAGTGAATATGAACTAAAAATGATTTTGAATCACACAGACATTACCAAATTTATTATAAGACAATCTTAGTGCGAGTACAAGAAAGCAAAGATGAGACTATCTTAACTGGACGAAGGGAGTATTAAATAATCATTACAAAAATTGTTACAAGTTTATTTTATACTACCTCTGTCCCATTTTATGTGTCTTCTTTGCTTTTGACACAATTTTTAATAAAGTGGTTGAAAAGGTAAAAGTTGTGATTGAGATTTGAGTATAGTAAAGTGAAATATTATGAACCACATATTTCTTTCCAGCGGCGGACGCAGGATTTTTTATGTGCAGGGGCAAAAAAATTCGGGGTAATTTGAGTTTGCACTACATTTTATTGTCGAAATTGAATTTTTCATATTTTTTTAAAATTGTTTTTGCGTCCCAACTCCATTAAGCCTTCAACATATTCTTGATTGAGGGGCACTTTTGTCTTTTCATATGGAATTGGGGTGTAATAACAAAGAATTTTAAAAATGAGGTGCAAAGTCCAATTTGAACAATAAAATGGGGTGCAAACTCGAATTACCCAAAAAAAATATTGAAGCCAAATTTTATTACTGCAAAAATTAAGCATGACTTTATATAAACATAAAATTGATCACCAATTTAAGATTGATATGTTGTGTGAAATACTGAAATGTAAAAATTAAATTTGTATTTGTATGGAGTAGTGCGCCATAGTGCCAGTTCCTCTATTTTGATAACTAATACGGAGTAGTACTGCATATTTTTTAATTTTGGGGGGACATATCTATTTATATATTTATTTATACCAAAAAAAATATTTTTTATTTTTATTTTGGGGGTACTGCAGCCCCTACTTGCCCCCCACCAGGTCCGCCGCTGTTTCTTTCCAAAAAGGGAAAGATGACAATTATTTTGAGCTTGTGTCTTTGTCTCTATTTTGTCTTATCAGACTAATCAAATACTCCGGTAACTTTTTATGAAACATGCAATTTTTTTCACACGCTTAATTGGCTATTAAGAGAAGTAAAATGGGTGTTACTTTTCTGCTGAATTTGAAGAAAAAGTCTTTTGTAGCTAGCTATTTTTTCGTAAGCATATGCATTTGTAATTCGGCACATTTAGTCAATTTGCTCAGAATGTGATACAATTTAACAACATCATTCCATTCAATCTATCGTTACCAAGGACTCTTCAAGTCTTGAGCTATAAGGATGTTTTTACTTGGATTGTAATTTGTTGGTCTGGTCTGGTCTGGTAATGTCTGATCTCTTTGTATTTTTATAACTATCCAAGTTTGGTTTGGTCTGGTATAGTCTGGTCTGATCTGAGACAGATTACAGTCCAAGTAAAAACATCCCAAGTTTTGTGAGTAATATACTCTCAAGGTAAATCGAGAAGGAAAAAAGTGAAAAGAAAAGAAGGGAGATGGACACTTCTACAACGTGCAGGCCGGAGAACGGTATACTTCTTACTTTCTATCGTTTTCCACTACACTTTCATAGGTCTATAAAAGTTTCTCTTCAAAGTATAATGTTTGGTTAAAAAAAAATCACTTCTCATCTTAGTATGCCCCAATTTTGTTCCTAACCACGAGTACAGTACTTTTTGATAGCAACTATGGTGCATGATTAAACAACAAAAGTAATATGAAGTTACTTTTAGGCAAGAAATTCAATTCAATCATTTCAAACATCAAAAACATATATCAAAAGATCAAATAAATGGTAGTTGGCAATATGGTCACTTATTTAATATTTGACATTACTTTGTGATGAATTAAATGATAGGATTTTTAGCTAAGAGTTTCTCTATGTCACTTTTGTTATATATTCAGATAGTTGGTATTATTAAAAGTTATTTCCAAAGTACATATTATTTTTATTGTACCTCTATCTCATTCGTATCTCGTATATTATCATGTGAAGGTCTTATATTAGATCGAATGTTAGCCAACAATATTTAGATATGTATAATACTAGATATTTATCACACTGTTAATGAAACCTTTTCTTATGAAATTAGAAAAATACGGGCTAGCACATATGTGCATTTGCATTTTTTTTGGGTCCTCGTTCATGATGAGAAAATATCAATACTCTATTTTAAAGTTGATATAAATGTTAATGTGTTAAATACTAAAAGTAGTCATCATATCAAAATGAAATGAACATATTTTTTTTTAAAAGCAGTGGGCAATTATATTCAATTGCGCAAAGCGCATGTAGAAAACTAGTTATTATAGATAGATGTGTCATTAATTATGAAAACAAATTTTCACTTCTCTTACTTCAAATTAATATCTTTTGAATTTTCAAGATGTATATATATTCTTTTTATGGAAAAAGATCGTGTCCATCCGGATGGACAGGAGGTGCCGTCTGGTCACCCGCCGTTTGGGGTGGTTTCCGGTCGAGTTTTTGATGAAATTTTTTGTGCATGTTCGTCATCAAGTCTAGTTTATTCACAAAAAATTTCAGCTAAAAATTCGACCGGGAAGGCAGTCAAATGATTTTTGGAAGATAACTACGTTTTATATGTATATAAAGAGCGCAGTTATCTTCCAAAATTCATTTGACTGCCTTACCGATCGAATTTTCAGCTGAATTTTTTTTTGGTAAACTAGACTTGATGACGAACATTCCCAAAAACTTTCATAAAAAAATTCCACTGAGAACCGCCCCAAACGGCGGCGGCCGGACGGAGGATCCCCCTCCGGCTGGAGAGGATCATTCCTCTTCTCTTTATATAGGATAGTATATAAATAGATAGTACTGTATTAGTTATCATTTTCATAAAAAATCAAGCAATTAGTGGCCTTTAATTTGTACAATTGTACTCTAAGTGGCCAGCGTCAGTATTTCTTCATTTGGAAGTAATTCCTTCTAAGACATAAAAAGCACCACCTATCCTGTACAAGTGATTCAATTCGTATATATCCAAACATGTATATATAACTTCATGTCAAAGTCATTCTATCAAACACAAACTTAACGCGGCCTTGTCTCAGTTGTCTGCAAATATATACGGAGTATGTACTTAGTATGGAGTATATTTAACTTGATCTATGTTATAAACAATAGATATACTTCGTATATCATCTATATATACTCGATCATAAATAGATTTTATTAATTCACTTTTCATTTCTTTGAATTGAATGAGGTCGAGAGAAGTACGTACCACATTACTACGTAAGTGCAATAATCATGGAGACAAAGATCCTAAGATGCTTTTCAACTAAGAAATTTATGAAAGTTGTCATCCTTGTGTTCTTACTCATCACTGCCATGTTTACGGCGGTGTTGGCGAAGGGTACTTCAGCCTCTGAAGGTGGCCGAGGTTGGTCAGGTGGCCGAGGCAGCCGAGGCGGACGAGGTAGCCGCTCTGCTAGAAGAAGTCCTACATGTGGTGGCGCTGCTGGAAAAAGTTGTACACATACATATGGCGGATATATTGGCCATCATCATCATTCGGGAGTTTCATCTATTTCCACTCTGACATGGAATCCAAAGTTTGGGCTCCAACTTCACGTCATCATCTTTAATACGTTTATCATACTTTTCCTAGCTTAATATGATGATTCTTTAAGCTAGTGTGTTTATATATGTGTGTATTTCATCTGGGGATATGCATTCGATTAATTCAGGAGATTGCTCTTTAAGTATGATAGAGTACTTAATAATGTTCGATCACAACCTTCATTTTATTTACTAATTCCGTCTCACTCAACTTTGCCAAATTGACATTGACTTTGAAATACCAAGAGTAAAAACTGTGTGGTTGAAGTAAGTGTAGAAAATATAATAGAGAAATAAGTAAAAATTGTGTGGTTGAAGTAAACACAAATTCATTGTTTTAAAAGGAAAGCAACAATTTCTTTTAGAACAAATAAAAAAATAGTTGGAAAAGTCCAGCAGAAAGACGGAACGAGTGTTATTTTTTTTTATCATTGGCCTGGAAACCACCTACTCACCACATGGTCCAACTACTAAAGTGTACGTGCATAATAAAGTGTTTATCCAATGTCTCATTAAAGTCGTATCCGAGTTGTTATTATAGTAGAGCTTAGGCTTGTAATGTTACATTATATCTTTGAGATATCATGTTTCTTTCGTTTGATGTTTATACGACTTTCTTTGTAAAGTCGTATCATGTTTCTTTCTAGAGCTTAGGCTTGTAATGTACTTATGTGTATGTTACACGATAGTGTAATCACTCTTTTGATTGACATTTGCTTAAGCTCCCCCTCTCTCAAAAGAAGAGCTTCTTAAATCCTCATTTGAATTGAAATGTCCTCGGCTTAAAACATATCCGGGCCGGCGTACATCTTACTTGGATTAAAGTTGGTCGAAAGTGATAAAAATGGAACACTAGTCAAAGCAAAAAACAATTGAAAACTATCGATACGTATAGATCTCGGAATCCAATATATGACACTTACTCAAGGAATTATATTAATTCAAATATAGGAAAACGCGCGCAATCCAATAAATTAAAGAAGGGTAAATAGGTCCATACACATTAAAAGACTCCTATTTAGGTATAAAAAAGCTTGGGCGCCTATGTTGGTATATCGGTCATGTTTTGCTCCTACCGGAGACCATTTCTCTACGGAGTATTTCTTTTCAAAATAATATAATGAATTTTTAGTTATCCTAGATGAAGGGTCTTTATAATGAAACATTGATATTATGAAATCACAGAACTTTCTTAAAAAAAAGTTTTTACCTATTTGATGGACTGCACTTGAATTTTGTTCTCTCCTTTCTGTTTGACTTCTTCAAGGTGTAATAGTTTTCTCAACTTCCATCTCTCAAATATGTGCATCGTCTCACTCACAATACTTAAAATATGAATAATTGGACAAACCAATCATTTCAAAGAGGATGTTTTTTCCCTTATCTAAACAGAGTAAAATGACAATCCAAGGTCCAAGGAAGAATCACATCCATCTTCACATCTGTTATAAATCGAATAAAAAACAGCAAGTAATGATTTTTCTAACTAAGTAGAATAAATTACCACAAAAATAATTAAATTGAGTCAAATTGACCGTGAAGGTCAGATTCTAAAGGGTTTTCATCTTCACATTAATTTTTGTGATACCTATTTTCAATCTATGCAAACTTGCCTTTCCTTCCCAAAAGTAAAGTTATAAAGGATGTGAATAATTTTGATTCGATTCATGATTCAAATTCGAAAATTTCGGTTCGAATTCGAGTGAGTAGAATATGAATACGAATACAAATCGATTTTTTTATTTGAATACTTTTCGAATACTAGGACAAAAACTTTGATATTCAATTCGAACAATATTCAAATATATTTGAATTATATATGAATTTTTATATTTATATTTATTTTATATTTATATTTATTTTATATTTATATTTATATTTATATTTATATTTATATTTATATTTATATTTATATTTATATTTATATTTATATTTATATTTATATTTATATTTATATTTATATTTATATTTATATTTATATTTATATTTATATTTATATTTATATTTATATTTATATTTATATTTATATTTATATTTATATTTATATTTATATTTATATTTATATTTATATTTATATTTATATTTATATTTATATTTATATTATATTTATATTTATATTTATATTTATATTTATATTTATATTTATATTTATATTTATATTTATATTTATATTTATATTTATATTTATATTTATATTTATATTTATATTTATATTTATATTTATATTTATATTTATATTTATATTTATATTTATATTTATATTTATATTTATATTTATATTTATATTTATATTTATATTTATATTTATATTTATATTTATATTTATATTTATATTTATATTTATATTTATATTTATATTTATATTTAATATATCTACTCCTTATAAATAAATGTAATGAAATGTAAAAATATTAAATTTTTATATCTATATTAATTTAAATATTCTTACTTTACCTTGTCAAAATATCTTATTTTAAAGGGAAAGTTCCCGAAATAGGACTAAAACAGTTTGAAAATTCCAAAATAGGACTGTCATGTTTTTTATTCCCAAAATAGAAGTAATTACTGCCAAGTTTGGAAAATACCGCCATGTTTGAAGTCTGGTACTGCCAAAACATGACAGTAATTAGTCTTATTTTGGAAATAAAAACATGTCAGTCCTATTTTGGAATTTTCAAACCTTTTTAGTCCTATTTTGGGTAAATTCCCTATTTTAAATTTATTATTCTCTGTTAATTTTTTTTTTAAATTTGAATAAGTGTCATACAAATATATTTTGTTTGGTATGAAATATGTACTATAAAAATGAGTTAAACGGGGAAAACTATAAATTTTAATTTTAATTATTTTCATAATTTAACTTTAATGTTTTTCGAATTCAAATATTCGAATAAGATTTGAAAAAGATTTTAATATATTCAACTATATCAAACGAATCGAATACGAATAATAATGTCAATTATTCAGTTCGATTCGATTCGATTCGTTTACAATCCTGCCCAAAAGTACAAGTAGGAGTTCGCATTGTTTGGAATTATATGTGCAATTCTACTTTAGAAGCACATTATTATTTATCCACTACAAACGACTTCGTTAGAGGTGTTTGGATCTATATTATAAAAATAAATCAGAAGTTTGTGATCGAGCATTTCATACAACTTCGTATTATGATGGAAACTCAATTTGAAAAACGAGTTAAGCGCATACGGTCAGATAATGATGTTGAGTTTCAGACTAAACCATTATTTGAGTATTATATGTGAACGTCATAGAATTATTTTGAAGACGACACACACACAGATAATCCCCCAATAAATGAGGCCGTTGAACACAAATGTAGACACATTTTGTAGGTCATTACTAGGGCACTTCACATTCAGTTTGGGTTACATTGCAATACTAAAAAACGAGATTCACACAGATTTGTCACGGATTGGTCAACGACTACGTACCAAATAGCTCGTGATAAAATGACACAAATTTGACATATCTATGCCAAATCCGCTATATATTTTAGCAAACCCTCGCGAAAGATCGGTGGCAATCTTGTTATTTTTTGTGGTGTTACCTATTGATTTTCAGGGGATGGATTCTAAGCGGTGTCACCTTATGAAATGTTATTTGAAAAAATAGATAGCTTTGAGCACTTGGAACGTCTAAAGCATTTGAGTGTTTGGTGTATGATATGGTCAAAGGCATACATAATTTTTTATTTAGAGAAGCAGGACATTTACCTCTCTCAGGACTTTGTTTTTTTTATAGTTTAAACTAATAAATGAGGAAGGATAAGATTTTGGATCCATAGTTGACCAGGTCTACAACAAAATAATTGAATATTGGAGCTCGCTCAACCATCTGCAGGGGTGGAGACAGGGGGTGGCTGGCAGTGGCCGTGGCCTCTGCAAGAATTTTTTTTGATGTATAAATATAGTAAAAAATACTTATAAGTAGTAAAAATATAGTGAAAATTTAAGTATTGACCCCGACTATATAAATTCCTTAAGTCCGGCCCCTGTAACTTGACATTCCTGGCTCCGCCACTGACCATCTGAAGTGAAGACCCACAACACGGCAACCCCTTGACTTCATCTCCCTTCTCCGCAACCTCTCAGCAAGGACCAGGACTCGCTCGGTATGTAATATATGTACATGGTTATTGAGTTGTATCTTCAATTCTTTAATTTATTGACGAATTTCTTTCAGTTCTTTTAATTTTTTAATTTCTTCCGAGAGAATTGAAGGTAGTTAGTACGTGTGTTATATTAGTGTGTAAGATAATGATGGAGACAAAGATCCTAAGCGGCTTCTCTGCAACTAATAAATTTATGAAAGTCATCATCCTTGTGTCCCTGTTCATTGCTGCCATGTTTACGGTGGTGTCGGCAAAGGGTACTTCTGCCTTTCGAGGATCTCGCACTGCTACAAGAAGTCCTATATACGGCGGACATAGTGGTCACTCGGGAGCTTCATCTATTTCCACTCTCACATGGAATCCAATGTTCCCGCTCCAACTTCGCACCATCATCTTTAATATGTTCATCATACTATTCCTAGCTTAGTCGCATTATTTGTTGAGATCGATGAAATAGTCCTAAACACGACTCTAACATGTTTAAAGTTCCTGAATAGAAATACATCTTTTATATTGAGTTAATTATCAAAATAGGACTAAAAGTCACTCACTTTGCACAAATAAGACTGAAAAGTAATTATGCGTGTCTTGGGCAAATATACCCTTATAGCTATTGGAATGTTTTAATTCATAATAAATTCATAAAAATTCATAAAAATTCGTAAAAAATACCAAAAAATTAATTAAAATATTTTAAATAATACTAATAATAAATTATTAAAAAAAATTAAAAACGCCAAAAAAAATCACCGCCGCCTTTGCCGCCCAGCACCACCACCTCCAGTCATCTGGGGGAAAAATGCCAAATTCATTACGAATGCCATATTTTTGGAAAAAGTCAAAATGATTCAAGCTGGCAGAATGAAAATGTTGGAATTCTCAATGAGAAATATGCCATTTTTTGGTATTTTCTGAGAAAAATGGCAGTTTTTAGTAAATATGGCATTTTTTAACGGTCGGAGGTGGTGGTGCAGGGAGGCCGTACCACCATCTCCTGTCACCGGGGGAAATGTCAAATTCATTACGAATGCCATATTTTTTGTAGAAGTCAAAATGATTCAAGTTGGCA